ACTTATTAGACAGCAATGGCACGAAATATACACAAAAAATGCAAATATAAACCTTAATATTAGGTATAAATATTAATAGATAATACATAAGTTATTATTTAATAAAAAAATTTATCTATGCATAGTATAAATATAATAAATATAAAATAAATTAAAATTCCTTTAAATTTGATTTCGGTATCTGTTTATCAATGCATTGCTAATATATATAATATGCGAATAAAAAATATTTCTTATTATACAAATAAATAATTCAATATATAATTTGAAAAAATCAATATTCATTGGCAATGGTATTTATTTTTAAAATGTATTTTATATTATATTACGATATTATACTTGTTAATAATAATAATATTAATAATAATAAGTTATACACAAAATATTTTGTTACACAATAGCTTATATAAAAAAGCTAAACAACAACAATAATAATAATAACAACAAGTTTTTGTCGACTCATAAAAATATATTTAATATATATTTTTAATAATTAAGAAAACTTTACACTTATTTACAAATACAGAAAGCATTACAATCAAAATTAAAAAACTTTTTTTGTATGCAAAACATCAAAAAGTTTATTATTATTATTCATGTGTTTTATGGCTAACAGCGACAGCAAAACTCGTAAGTTTTGTTACTTTATTATACTTTTATTACTAAAATTACAATATATTACTATACATACTATTACTTACTATAAATATATTACAAGTTTAATTAATATTAATATTAATATATATATATATATATTTAAGTAAGTTATGATAAGTCATACCATAGTATGAAAAATGCATAAACAAAACAATTTATTTTTTGTTGTATTTTATTTCATTGTATTCACTGGTGAAACATACAAACAAAAAAATCAAAGCAAATCTTAATTTATTATACCGGAAACCCATTGCAAATAAATAAGTAACAAAAAAATATTATTCAATTTTTTCACTGGTATGTTTTATAAAAAATATATTAATACAAATATCATTCACAGCTCAAATTTTTTTATGTAGATTACTATATAAATAATAATAATGTGTTATAGTATGTTATAATTTTAATCATCTGTAAGTTATATTTTGTAATTTTTATAATTTCGTAATTTCATAATAACCAAAAAAATTATTATTATCATATAATAGTTTATTATTAATTTTTTATACTATTTTGATATAATATACTATTTATATCATCTGACATCTAAAGTGCCGCAGAGGATATCATATCAATTTAATTTTAACGTTATATTATTATATAAACTATGATTATGGACTTAATCTCTGGTCACACATATACACAGTCACACACCCGACACAAATTATGACAACAACAAAGTATTATATATTAACATAAAAAAATAATTAATTAAAAAATAATGTATTTCTCAGTTTGCAGAAACTTGTTGCTTTCAATATCATAATAAATTAATATATAAATATCAATAGATAGTATAGAGTACTTATGTTTATAAATAACATAGATAACAATATAAACACACTTTTATATACAGTATATACTAAATATATTTAAAAAATAAAAAGATTATTTAATAAAATAAATTAATAACTTACAATAAGCAACTATAGTATCATAGTTATATAATATTTATTTTAATATCTAGCAATCTATATAGTTATACATTTTGATAAAAACACATATATGATACTATTAATTTTATGCAAAATTTTTTAATCAATAATACACTTTTCCCTATTAATCAAGATAACAAACAATTGATTGAATTTAATATGAATTGATGGCTATTTAACTGTGTCGACGATAGTATAATTTACCCAAAAAATATTACTATTATTATTATATGTTTTACAAACAAATCTAGTTCATATCAAATTTACTATAAAATTTATTTTTATAACAATAAACTTAAACATATATAATTTATATAGAGTTATGTTTTTAATAGTTATGGTACAGTATTTAAAGCTGTTTTATAATTATGGATCCAAGTGTTTATTTTGTTGTTGTTTTTCATGTTATTGTTGTTGTTAAGAGTTTTGTTTTTTATGTATATAAAATATATTATTATTATTATTATTTCAAATATTAGACCCACTAAAATAGCGTACAATAATCAGCCAACAGATAGATCCGGTATTTTTGCGGTATATGTGTATTAGTGTTATGTTTTATAGTCGACAAAATTTGCGCTAAGTTTTTTGCCAATGAAATACAGTAAATACTAAATATAAAGTTTTTCTAAAGAAACACATTTTAAAAAATTATTTAAAAAACACAATTTTCTTAACTAATCTATCGGTCAGCATATGTGGAGATACCATCAGCTCTCTCTCTCTCTCTCTCTCTCTCTCTCTTAGAGGAGAGAGAGAGAGAGAGAGAGAGATATTTGGGTCAAACATCCAGCAGTTGTTGGCATTATTAGCCAGAGTTACATAACATGTTTAGCACTCATACACATTGTATTGTGTGCTCCTTTTTTTTGTTGAAAAAAATATAATAAAATCCCAGTGTTATGGCTATTATAATAGCCTATTCCAATAGTCAGTTATACTGTACAATAACAGGACAATAACAATAACAACACCTGAGACAAGGGCACCGGTATGTAACATTACGGAGAGTCGGAAAAGAAATTTCCTAAAAACTATTGAACAGATATTTTGGAGGCGAAAACAATTATCGGGTGTGACTACTACTGAAAACGGATTTGTAAATATAACAAAACTATGGTTTATTAATAAATTGTATTAATAAAAAATAAAAATTCTAAATAATATTATATAACCCATAGTACTGTATTAAATAATATCTTTATAAATAAATAAATATATAAGTCATATTTAATAAATGATAATAATAATAGTATTATTTTTGTTGTTTCCCTTATTTTGTTGATGAATCTTATTGTTGTTGTTGTTGTTGTACTTGTTGTCTATCTTTATAGATAAAGTGTATGTAATTAAAAGTTATTAATGTTGTCGTAATTGGAGTAAACTTTTTAATCAAAAAAATAACAAAAATTGTACTAAAAATTATAAATTTCAAACACATACAGAAGCAAAAAATATACTTTACTATATATATATAAGTATTTACATTTACTGCTAAAATAGTTTTTTTATTAATCCCTGAATAACTAGATTTTTAAAAAAATTCAATTATTTTATTTATTGATATCGTAATGATTAATTTTTATGTATCGATAAATAATTAATAGATTTTTTTTGAATTTATTCGACATATAAAACATTATAATATCTTTATATAAATTATAGACGTATAATCTTAAATACTTAAATATTGTTTATATTGTTTACTAGTAATAGAGGTAAAAAATAAATAAATAGTTAATTACTGCAAAAAAACATTGCTAACAATAATATAAATACGCTATATAAAAAATATATTATATTATGATTAGATTTAATATCTCTATTGTTTTTGACAATTAATATTTTATGTGTTTGTGTGGGAAAATGAACATAATAATTATGAAATAAGAAAATATTAAATTTCATTATATTTAAATTAAGTCAATTAAAAGTTATTTCCCTCAATAGTAAAGTGCCAATAAAACCATTAACAAATAATTGTCTCAAAACATATACAGTATATACGGTATATCTATATATATTATTTATAAAACATTTTTGTTTTAATAAATAACTGATGTTATACAACATGTTTTCATCAATTTATATATCGTTTATATTAATTATTTAGTCGTAATAGTAGACAATTAATGTAAATGATAAGGATGTATTGATTTAATATAATTAAATAAAATAAATAAATATGTATACTTTTTTAACTACTGTATATAATTATTACTTGGGTCTTATAATATAAATATTTAAATTTATTTTTATGTTGCAAATAATTTCATAAAAATCTATTTGTATTACTATTATAAATACTTAAATAATTAATATAATAAACAAACTTTTATATTAATATATTTAAAAAAAACAATGTATTTGTTCAATGTATTGCAAATTATATAAATATCATTGGGGAAAATAAAATAAAAATCTATTAAAGCAATGTAAAGCAATTAACTATTATTTTGATGATGAATAAGACTAATTGTTGACAATTTTTTCCCTATTTTTTAAATTTATTACAAAAATAAATAGCTATAAAATTCCCAAATAATCTATTATTTAATGTCGAAACAAATCATATTTGATATATTTTTTAAAAATATTTAAAAAATTAAAATCACGAATTTTATGTTCAAATAAAATATATTTAAATATTTATGATATTTGCTTCGATAACTAACAAAAAATCACATATATTTGTTTACTGTGTCTCAAAACAGTGGTAAGCAATTGATATGATTGTTTAATGTCCAGTATTTTTTTAAATATTGAAAAGTGTATTAGAAATAACAACAACAAAAAACATTTGTCCAGTTTATCAGGTATTTACTAACACACAAAAAATCATTGAACAACCCTAGAGATTGGTATGCATTCAACACAAGTATTCATAGCATTCATAAAGCATTAATAGCTCACAAAAATACACATAGTATTGATCAGTGGGTCTAAAATACAGGTAGTATTGACTCCTACCTATGCCATAGACTGACTCTTAAAAGGTAACTGTGTTACCATTAGAAGCAGTATATAATATTTTATAAAGAAAAACTGAGGGAAACATATTTTTTGACAAACACATAGTACTGTATATCACAAAGTTATTCAAATAAATAAACTTATTTTATAATACTTGTTAAACTTTTAAGAATTAAATAATTTATTATAGATGTTGTAAATATTAGTTTTTGTTTTAAAAAAATCATTTATAAAATTATTAAAAATTTAATTATCAATAAAGTTATAAATATATATATTATCAAATATAAACTATTTAAATAAACAAAAACTTATGCAGTATTTACAACATTATAGTATTTTCTAATAACTTGATGTCAATGTAAGTTCAATATGTGACAGATGTTTGAAATAATAGTTTAAATATTTATTTCTCAAAACTCTATCAATGCTTACCTTTTTTTGGATTTGTTTTGTAGTAAACTGTAGTAATGTTTGGGTCTTCAATGCGATTATTATCCATTAAAAATAATTCACTTATTAATCGCTAATTGTTTTTTTCAATACAGTTCACAATACAGTTATTTAATAATAATAATACAATTAAAAAGTTTGTTTTTTTTAGAAAAAAAGTTTTATGTAATAACTACTATCATATATACTGTATTTACTATATATTATACAATACAGTATACCTGTATATAGAGAGCACACAAACACTGTGTCGATGAGTAGTACACACACTGTATCCGTACACTGAATGTCATAATATGAATAGCTATGCAATGGTTTGCACTGTTAGGTCTCATACACTACTACTTGCCTGACGTCACTCATAGGCATAACTACAACTGTATAATAACCAGTGCTTAGCACTCTATGCATCGGAACTGAGAGACATCTAACGGTTATAACGGTATCAGATATTAAATATATATTATATATATGTTATGTGTTTGTGTGAAAACCTGTATAGAAATTACAGGTAAAACAGGAAGACATTGGGACCTGTATTGTCCCAATCACTATAGTATGGTTTACAGATATACTATCATAGACTGTATATAAAAAATTATGGAATTACCACTAAAAATAATATCATTGCATAAAAGTCTAACTTAAAGTAACTGTTTTTCATTTTCATATACATGTAGTGTATATAATATATTTAGTATTATATTTACATTAAATGTTGAATAAAGTTATATATATGATATGTACTTATATACCGGTATAATCTATATGTTAACAATATAAAAATTTATATATTAAAAAAGTGTATATTTAAAATAATCAATGGGTATATAATACAGTAAAATAGATCTTGAAATTGGTTGACAAATTGGGCCAAACACTTACTATATAAATATACATTTATTTATTTATTTATAATAATTTTATGAACAAAAATTTATAATATTTATGTATTGAAAATTGGATTCGAGTTATACAATATTGTTAGTCTCGAAAAAATAGTACTATTTTTTATTAGTGAATTGATTATACTGTATATAAAAACTAATACCAAATACAACTTGTTTTTTTAAATATAATAATCATAATAAATGTTTGCTTGAATAATACAAATATAGAGAAATACATAAACGGTATATACTATATATAAATATATAAAAATTTGTGAATTGAGATCACAAGTGATGTATAAAGACGTTTGCAATCAAGTGATGGTTTTTTTTAAAATAAAAATCACAAATAAAATCGGAGCCCTAAATATGTTTTGATATGTTGACTGATTATTTAACTATTTATATACATTATATAAAACATATACAAAACATATCAAAATATTTTTTAAATGATAACTACTATCGGTTGATAATTTGTATAGTTATAAAAATACAATAAGTAAAAAAACCAGAAATAAGTGTAGGAAAAATCAAAATGCATTTTTATATACTTAAGAAAAATTATTTTTTATTTTATTTTAAAAGTATTTAACATTATGTATGTTTACCTAATGATCCAATAATATACAAACAACACAAATATTATTAATAATAATAGTGTAAGTATGCCTTATTTTAGACAATGTATTGCAAAATATGTATTGAAAACTTCAATTGTTGTCAAATTTGATAAACTGATTGGCAATAAATATGCTGTAAATGAATGCGAGGCGAGAGTTAACAGACGGATGAAAGATTGAAAGAGAGAGAGAGAGAGAGAGAGAGAGAGAGAGAGAGTTTTATACGTTAATACTATAACTTCAATCAAACATAAAAATGCGATAAAATGTTTCTCTCATCGAGAAAACGGATACAAAATATTTTCATATTCTATCAATAGTTATATATAAATAAATACAAGTATATAAAGTTTATGTATGTATGTATATATTTAATTTATTTGGCACTAATTAATATGCAAATAAACTAAATTTTATTATTATTATTATTATTGATTTTAATATAAATCTTTACATTTGAATGCAATTTCTCGATGTTATGTAAGAGTGTAGAGAAAGAGAGGAGAAAAACCTTTAACGAGAGCATCATTTTTTGATATCCCTTTCGCTATAATATTATATATATATATAGTTTGCATAAAAATAAAATAATTATATAATAATTTATAATATATTTATATTCATATCTATGACTTAATACATTAAAACAATAATTTAGGAATAAGCAAAGAAAACTATTTTAATATTCAAAACAACTTTTTCACTGTATGTATGTTTGTTTATATCATATAATATCTCGTTTTAAAAAAACTAAATTACAATTTGCTATTATTAAATCTTACAAAATTATTAAATATATTTATGTGTAAAGACATAAATATATGTAAAACATACATAAAATTATATAAATTACTATTTATAATGTGATTACATGCATACAACACAACAAACTAAATTAATTTTGAAACAAAAAAACAACAACAAAATAATAATATTGTTATTATTAAATGTTTTCACTTATTGTGTGTTAAAAATCAGGTATTTTTGGTTACATATCTCAAATAAATTAGTTAAATTAAAATGTTTTTTATAGTAAATAAAATTACACACAAAAATGTGTTTAAATTTCTCACCAGACATTAAATTTCTTGCAAAATAATTATAATAATAGCACAAAAAATTATTATTCAGTTAAATATTTGTGTCTATTTTTATGTATATTAATTTTTATTACAATATAAACGACACTTATATCAGTCAAAAAAAATTAAGACATACTTTTGGTGAAAGTTTAGTGTTAAACAAATCTAAATGTGAAAGTTTGCAAATTTTATAATGTGATATAATTAATAATAATTTTTTTAAAAAATGTATTTTTAAAAAACTATTTTTTTGTTTGGTTTTAATTTAAAGCTATAAATAATACGCCCTCTTATGTGCTCTCAGACCTCATTTTTTAAAGTGGATAGTTATGTCAAATAGTTAATCATATAATTTATAGTATATGTAGTACCTGTAAAGCAAATATATAAATATATTAACAATTTTTAGCCACACTAATGAAAATTACGAGAGTTTTCAATTTGTAAAATTTGAAATTTTTCATAAATATTATTTTTAATTTTCTAAATTACTTTCGGTTAACTATTTATTTTTTAATTGCATTCCAAGCTTTGACTAAATTCAATCGGTTTTTATGACGATATGATTGATTAAACATAAATTTATATATATATATATACTTTATATATAATACATTCAAAATCTTTAATTTTACTATTTTTGGTTTCAATGGACTAATATTTTCAAATGTTGAATGAATTAATCACATTTGAGTATAGAAAATAATAATAGAAAATTTTGTAAATGTAATATTCAATTAAAATAAATTTTTATAATAATTATTTTTTAAAAATAAAATAATACATACAGTTGTAAACTGTATGTAAAGTTTCAAACAACAAACAACATTATTAACAACATATTATTTAGCATAGCTATTGGTAAATAATTAATAATTATTAAAATATGCAAAACTAATCTTGGATATTTTTTTTACTAATCATAAATAAATTATAGTCATAAAATGTAGAGCAATAACCCCTACATTTAAATTTTGTTGAATAGTATTTACAAAACATATATTTGGGGGACGAGTTGGACACCCCATCTCAGCTAATAAATAGGGATTTAGTTACAAATAAATGGCTAATTTGTATATTAAAAAAACTTTTGAAATCTCCACTAAATAAAACACAGTTAAATGTGTGGGTATTCAATAAATGAATGCAGAGATAAAAATATAAAAATTGTTTTTTCCTCAATGTTTTTTATATTTTGTACAATATTATAGGTTTGCAAAAATATGCATAACTTTTGATTTTATTATTGTTATTGTTTTTTTTGTTTGTAAAATACAATACAGTATATTTAAGTATACAACTTATCTAAGCCGACCATTTATAGTCACCGATACCCACACCCCGTTATACCTTCCATATTACACCTAATCTTTTTGTGTATAAAATAATAAATTAAAAACTGTTTTTTATAAATAAATATACTATATGTGCTCTGAAAATTTATGCATCAATTAATCTTATAATTTATATTAATTATGTTAAACTGTATATCTACCTGTATCACATATAAATAATATATTATATAACGCCAACAAAAAATTGATAAGATTACATAAAAAATATTTATATTTTTTTGTAAATTTATTTCAAAACAGTTTTGCTTTTGTTTTGGTCATACAATTTTACGTTTTTTTTGTAATTATTATTATTATTATTAATAATTTTAAAATAAGTCTTATCTTTTATTTTTAAGGTGTGTGTCTTTTTTAATAAAAGCGAGAAAGTAATAATAGAAATTTGCTTAATATTATTAATAATAATAAATAATATATAATATTATAAACACTTGAAGTAAATTAAAATTCATTTTACTCTCTTTTTATTCTTATTTTATTTTTGTTAGTTATATTAAATTTTATTATTATTATTAATTTAAAATAGTCTTTCATCAGAAAAAACTAAGTCAATGAAAGTCAATGAATCTCAAGTGTCGGTTCAACTAAAAACAATTAAATCATTTTTGTTTTAGCACTTTTTATACAGTATATACATAAAACAATAATATACTGTTTTAATGTATATATAAATAATAAGATTAATAATAATAACAATGATTTTTTTGTAATGCAAATCTTCTTTCCTATTGTAACGCATTTTTTTGTGCACAACAAAAGAGTTGTGAGTTATTAATAATATATAACACTTTTATTTTTTTCAAAATTCAATATATGATACAAACTTAAAATGAAATTATGTTTTCAAACACAAAAAATAGTATTATTATTATTATTATTATTATTTTCTTTCACCACTTGAAAGGTGAAACACATGTATTGAATTTATTTTTTTATATATATATTATGAGGTCATACTTGCTTTACGGTACTCCACATTAGATTACATGTGTGTGTGTATGTGTGTGTGTGTGTACTATACCTGGCTATTAATCTCCTCTATGTTTACTTGCGTGGGGTAACTGTGCTTAACTGTTCACATTCTCTCTTTTTATCTGTTT